TTATTAGACTGCAACCTTTCTGAATCCGAAACCTTAATTGTGAGCCTTCAATGTATATCTGCCATAAAATAGGACTTTTTCATTAATCCATTTGGTATAAAAATGTGTATAGTGAAGGGAAGGGAGCAATGTTGGCCCAATAGTTTGAGCATGCGTTCCTGTCGTAACATCGGACGCCGGCTGTGCACCAATGGACTGTTCATCCGCTCATACGGTGAAGGATAACATGCTTAGTCTAGTTTTGACCCAAGAATGTTGACAGTATGTCATCAGGTACTTCTCAATACTACAAACAATGATCACAGAATACAGAAAACTGAAGACTGAAGGGTTGTAGTGCCTCTGGTTTTTGTAGTAAATGGATTTTACAACGCCTATGTATTAGTGGCTATTATCACTTAATTTCATCAATATTAAATTTGATTATTATCAGGTATATTAGAGAGAATTTATTTTGTCAATGAATTTAAAAGTATTATCAGCGTTAACGTGTGATTTAACAGAGAAAAACGGAGGCGGTCACTGTTGAAAACAAAAGAGCGATAAAAAAATTATCCTCACAAATTGAGTGTTGTCTCAGCACAGCTGCTGTCGAGAGATAAGCGACCCTTTCTTTTTGCCGTTTTAAATTGATATTTAGATGACGTTTCTCTCTAAATTATGTTCATTATTTTGACTAGTTTACGCGTGTAACGTTCATTAATAACAGTCGATGTTTGTGCTCGTATTCAAAATAAATAATTTCCCGCGCTGTTATGTCAGTTGTCAGTGCTTGACATTTGACAGAGTGCGACGATTGACATGAGTAAAAAGGCTTGTTGTTACCCATCAATAGTTTAATCTCAGTTATTTAATATGTTGAACGCATTATATTAAAAAAGTGGCGGTACAAAACACCGAAATCAAGCACAATGAGTGAACCCTACACTCTAGACCAGCATTGTAACTGGGAAATGTTGGAAGAGACCTATTGTTTTAAATTGTATAATAAATCAGTTTCGTGGCTTTGACGTTAATACAAAAAAAATACCGGGAAAATAATAATTCCTTCGGGTTAAAAATCTGGTACAGAAATTGACTCCCATGCTAAATTAGAGTTTATACGAGTATAAAATAAATTACGAAATTATACTCAATTTATTGACAAAAACTATACTGAGATTCGTAATAAAAGAACATGAATTTTCATATTTCTGTCGACTTTGGGTACAAAGGCCAATTTCCCTTTGAAAATCGAAAATGGTATTTTTATTGGCTTCGGTTTTGCGGTATAATTAGTACAAAGTACGGTAACTGCAGTTTAATAAGATGGTCCGCTTAAATCTCGTTGAGGGTCGAAATTGAAAATTCTGATATAAAATATAGAAATTAATCAAATTATATTTTATCGCAATTACTTCTTAACAATTTATAATGATGCTTTTTTCATAAGTTACCGAGTTTAATATTATATCCAGCTGGTGTATAAGGATTGTCATCAAAATGCGAAAATATCATGTGTACATAGCTAGTACTCTAGTACACACAAATACTCGTATGTACTAGCTATCTAGTAGCCGTGCCCAACGAATTCATGCCCTTTGATTTTCAATTGTAGAACCGCTTATAACTGGAACATCGAGAGAAACTCAAAAAATTCGAGTTTTGAGTTAGGCGGATTTTGATTCGGACTTGGGGGTTTCGGAGTTAGGGGGGACTTGTGGGGGGGGTTAAGATTTATTCTTACTCATTTTGACTTACATTGTAGGGAAATCCTACAACATCTATAGTTCGAAGAAAACTAAGTTATCTTAATAAGTTTCAAATTATCGAATTTAAGGTTGTACGAGTATATGACATGGCTTTGTTCGAGACACGAGGTTTTATTTATTTTTTTTAGTTATACAGGGAAAATATTGCAGCTTGCGAAGACGGATTATTTCGTCTAATAAAGGGTTGAGATTTTGAATAGGTACTGGAGATTTTGAAATGAAATTGTTTTTCGAGTTTTGTAGGTTCAATTTAAAGAAGTTTTACGGTAATTATAACCAAATTAAATGCATTTTTTGAATAGCATCTTTAAAAGAGCTAAGAGTTCATGAACCTATTATCCGCTCACCTTAAAACACGAAACTTGGAAGGCTATTGTTATCTTCAATCACCTGAGTGTAGATTGTATAAGTCTCCTTTATATATTGAATACGGATGTTTGAATAATAGGACAACCGTCGTACGAACTCGTCACTGTAGAATGATAACCTCGTATGTCAAAAAACCATTTGTTTTTTATTCTTAGACTCTTATTTATCGTAGTAATTTAACTGGTATAATCTAAAGAAAGACTGATTTATGTTTTTTATAATTAAGTCCTTTTTACCATCCAAAGTTATGGACAAAAACACATAATAATTTTTTTACGAACATTGACGAAATTAAAAAAAAAAGTTTCTTGTAATTTTTGGTTCACTGGACATACGAGGTTATCATTCTACAGCGACGTCATGCCTGCCGTCCGCTCAACGAAGACGGCACCACTTTTGGTGTTTCAATGAAATAATGCTACAATATATCATTTGAAATACATTATATAATAGGTGAAAATTTAACCAGCTCAACTTTGGATTATCGACATTTATAACTATGGAATGTAATCGTGAGAAAATGAAAGACATAATCGGTGCTTAAGGCTTAGAGGGCCAAGCAAGTATATGATCACGAAAGACGAATTAATGTTCAATCAGTCTGAACTTGCTTGTATAATGACCAAAAATCACCGTTAAAACAATTGTTAGAATCTTTTAATATTAAAGCTAATAATCAAATAAAAATCGCCATTATAAAGTTGAATAAGAATTAAAAATGGGGACTCCAAACTTCCTAATCTTTCTTAGATCCTAGTGGAAAAGTCAAAGTGGAAATAACAGGGCGCGTCGCACCGGCCGGCGGCGTCAGGCGTTACTTCCTTCACCCACGCAGTACCGTTTTTGTCGACGGCGCGAGAGGGCGCCTCACGCGTTCCCCAACGCACGTGACTTGTTGCTTAGTACTCAAATATTTACACAACAATTCTTAAACATAATGTGAATAAAATAATGCACGGTCATGAATTTTATATCGAAACCCCTCTTACACCACGCAAAACTATCTATGTTTCTAAGTTTCGTATTCGTTATTTTACTTGCCGCTATTTTACTTCACATAAAATCCGACACTACAAACAAAATTCAGACAGACTCCATTCAATACGAGTCCGAGATAAATGCGACAGTCTCGGAACCGAGGAAAACGAGAAGAAAAGAATACCTGTACCGACTTTTGACAAATACGACCCGTTCCCTCATACAAATGGAAATAAAAGCTAGGAGACTGGAAGAAAATATGCGTAGGATTAAGGAGAAAACTGCGGATTTATTGTGGAAAAATAAGGATAAAGCTCTCTGGCAAATTTTGTTTAAAAATATTAGTAGGCATATTTCAATTAGACACGAATTTCACCAACATTCCAGTTTGAGGCGTATAATGCAAGATCACACACACATACATAATGACCGGAGTGTACGTGAACAATGATGTGCTAGTGTTAATTAGTTTAAGGACTGTAAAATATAAAGCAAGTAGTTATATAGGATATAAATTTCAAAGACTAACAGAAAGTGAATAGACAATTTGCAGACAGAGCACGTACGTACCACTACTGTATTTTATTTTTGTAGATTTCGCTGAAAAGTTTAGCTTTCATATTTCACTAACATTACTTAGGATTATATTCTTGCTTGTTTTATTCAATAAGGCGTTTAAATTTGATCATACATATTAGACGTCTGCATTTAGAGTACACAATATAATATAATAGCTGTTATTATTAAATATCAATTTAAATTTCGCGCCACGATGTTACTCTCACTCATTTCAATATGTATTGTCTTTGTTATATATCTTTACTCTGTGTATACTATTAAAAATAAATTATAGTAGTCGAAGTGAATCAACTTCCACTATTTACAAAACAGATATATAAGTATAAATCATATTCGTTATTTATACAACATTTATCACACTTTTGGAAATTTCTTTTATTATTTATTTGCTTTAGAAAATAAAATTTACAAACGATTTACATAGATTCGCGACCAATATTATAATTAAAAATATGTAGGTAGGTAATGTCGTATTTGCGAGTCTATAAAAGCAAAACATTACGGTATGATAACAATTAAAATAAAATATAAAACTTTAATGTAAAATAACTTTAGAAAAGCTATGAATATAAGGTCATTTAAATGTGCAAGAATAAATATAGTTTAGAACACTCCAGATTTTACAGTAATGACAGTATATTTACTGATTTTTTAAAACGTCAAAACAATACAATTTACTTTTTTACTACTAAATTGTTTTGATAGCTGATTGGAAAATTATAATCTTTTTTATTCTTATTAGTTTATTTAAATAATTAAACGTAAAGTATAAAATATGCTATCTTGATGAATTGTTACTCAGGGATTTAGCTATATACATTTCCAAAATAAAATAAATGTCTAGTCGTAGCCGCAGTACTTATTACAATGAGCAGTGTTGGCCTAGTGGCTTCTGCGTGCGACTCTCATCCCTGATGTAGTACGTTCGATCCACGGCTGTGCACCAATGGAGAGTCCTTTCTATGTGCGCATTAAACATTCGCTCGAGCGGTGAAGGAAAACATCGCGAGGAAACCGGCTGGCCTTGGACCCAAAAAGTCGACGGCGTGTGTCAGGCACTGTAGGCTGATCACATACTTGCCAATTAAATTATCATGAAACAGATTCAGAAATCTGAGACCTAAAGAGGTTGTAGCGCCACTGTAGTTACTGTCTAAAGTAAAAAAAAAATAATAATCTTTTTTTTTACTTTAGACAGTAACTATTTTTCGTGGGTACTACACCGTATTTCGGTATCAAATTCATTAGCACTAGTTGAACTGTTATCATTCACAACATTAGTCACTAGTGATTTCTCGACCGGTTAAGTGTGTTAACGTTGGAATGTCTTGCTGTGAGTAAAATTTAATAATATATTACTTGAAGCTAGGTAAGAGGACCATTTTATTGGTATTACATTAAAAAATAAATATAACTAAGATGCATATACAAATCATTACGAGTAATTAGTAGCTTCGTTGGTGATAATAATATATTTGGCGTTGACGTAGTATTTGATTATGACTATAGAAATAAAAAGAATAAAGGTCAGAGTTATATGTGTATGTTTACTGATATCTGCATTTCTAAAAATAGATTATAATGAATTATACAATGTATATTGATGAATGTAATAAAGTTTTATTACATTCATCAATATACATATATATCAATAACTAAATATATAAATATATATCAATAATAACATAAATATATATATTAGTACTTACTAATATTTATGTACAAACATGTTTTTCTGTTTGTAGTATCATTTGTAGATTTACAGACGTTATTAAAAAAATATCACTGCCCATGTTCCCAAATTGATTGATTGAACGAGAAGAACAAGAAACCCAAAAAAGTGGCCTTTATGATTACTAAGTATTTTGTTTTTCAAGAAGTAGGGAACTATTTTACCACGCTCCATGTGATATGGAATTAATAACAATGAGTGGCTACAGAAGAATTGGTTTTGCAGTATTTTTTGATGTTCATAAAGTTCTTACTGTTTTGTTGACAGAGTTTATACAATATATGTCTTTAGCTTCAATTTCTAACAATTCTTTTACGATGGTCAATTAGTTATACATATTACAAACACATTAAGCATACATTTATAAATACTCCTAGTTCTAGTGCAGGTATAGTTCCTATAATGTTGGTACATTAGGTATCAGTAATACCCGCCAAGTGAGAGAATTATATTATGTACATATTTCTTTGATTATAAATTATTTTAAAACATAGCACCCGGGTTACGATATCTAATGTCAAATCGTAATTCCTACGATTCGTAGGTTTTGATATGAAGCGAATTTTAGTTTTTTTTCTGTAGATCATTTTACAAATCACATTATGTTTATATTAAAAAACGATCTCAAGTAGTGTTTACATAGTAAAACAACCGTAGTATATTAAAAAAATCCTCTTTATATAAATTTCGTATCAACACTGGCATAAAGGTTTAAAGGGTTAAAAAATAATAAAATAAAACCCTTCAATGAGTTGACACAGTTTTCGAAGAGGTTCTTGTAACAGAATAAAAAATAACCCACTTCTAAAGCTATCACAACTCCTATCAAAAATGTAAAAGAAACCCTTATAAGGTAGGTACTATATTGAAAAGACTTTATACAGATTTCATATCAAAACATTGAAGTATTGAAGACTTATTATGATTATTCGAAATTGGAATAGATTTTTATTCGGTTTATTATTTAACTAGATTTTATGTTTGATGTGTGTATTTCAAAGCAACTAATATACTCAGCTAAAATTGTTTAGTATATTGTAATACTTTAGTATCAGTCTAAACAAGTTCATAGATGTTCTTATATTTTTATTTCACTAATAAAAATACCAAATAACTTTTACTATACCTAACAGACATGATAGGTCTCTCTGCATCTTCTACCGCATGTAACGTGTTCAGAGTTGTTCGGATTAATACCAACAGCTGAGTTTTGTCATCGGACGTCGAGGCAGAATACCAAATTCCACCCGTATCACCCCGACGTCCGTCGCTCTACAACAAAAAACTGAGGAAAAAACTGGCCAAAATGAGCCAGTTTTTTCCGCGCACCAACGCTGTGGCACACATTGAAATAATTCCGAACAAATTCGAGGTCTTGAGGGTCCCTCAAGAAAAATGCGTACCAATTCTTAACGCAACGCACTCGCGAGCCTTCGGGTATTGAGACTGTCCATGGGTGATGGTATCAATTAACATCAGATGCCTTCTGCCTTGTGGCCGTTGGCCTCCTGTTCTAAAAAAACATAAAAAATGAATTAAACGTACATACGATTGGCACGTATGATTACAGCCGTGATTTTATTTAAATTATACGAAATTCTTACTTCTGTAAAATGTTTAATAAAACAGGAAATAATGTATAGTTTAATCGGCTACAACTACAAATTAAAGAATCTAAACACCAAGAATTAAGAAAAGTGTATTTATCGTAGAAATTTAAGAGAAAGTTTCAAGCTTTTTTATTCGAAATTTGAATTGCTAGTTATGTTTTAGAAACATTGATAAAAACGTTTTGCTACTAAACATCAATACATTTAATTGTAAGCCAAACTCGTCGTTCCAAATAACCAAAAACTATAGAACGAAAAATGCGCGATAAAGCAATTTGACAGTAACAATGTAACAAACATATAGTTAGAGATATGATAAACAAACAATAGCCGAGTGATGAGATTACGTAGAACAAAGGAGTAATTTATATGCAGGCATTACCTGACGCGATTACCGAATTGCGAGGGACGCTCCCTCTATGTCGCTCATTGTATAATTTTAGCGTTGATACGCTTTGAACTTTTTACCGTTGTATTTTATAACAAGTCTGAAATAGCCATTTAATTTTAATACACTTTCATTTTATTAATGATTAGGGCAGCAAGAGTTAGATTCATAGTCGAGACCTAACAATAAGTATTATTCTGTATTTTTTATTATGTAATAGGAGGCAAACGGACAGGAGCTGGATACCGCTGCCCATGGACACTCACATTGCTTGCGTTGCCGGCCTATTAAGAATTGGTAGGCTCTTTTCTTGAAGGACCCTAAGTCGAATTGGTTTGGACAAGGACCCTAAATGTAATTGGGAACATACTCGTATTCCGAATGTTCCTAATTTCATTTGAAAAAGGAACGTTTAGTTCCTACACTAAAATTAAATAAACATCTATATACATTTTTGTATAGGACCTTTCCTATTATTTGTCTTAATATAGATATAGTTATGTAAGCTTTATTAAATTATTGTTTCCCGCCGAAGGGACTGTGATTTAGGGGCGGATTCATTTATTTCGGTTGAGCGCCGTATCAGGTTTCCCACAGACTCAGAAATACCCTAATTTTTCACAGGTTTTCGTGAAATATTTATTTAAAAATAGAATAAAATCTGGGAATGTAGACAATTTCGATTAAATAAGATTTCAGATCATTATTTATTTCAATTCTGAAGCAATTTTAATTAAGCCTACATCCGCGAACTTCGTTTCGCCTTATCAGATTATTCCGTAGGCTACCTTTTTAGTAGCTACATACCAACACATGGAACATTTTGCGCTGATAATCCATAAGAACCTAAGTAGTAAAGAAAATTTTTCAAATATTTAGTAGTTGTTATTGTAAGAATACATTATCAACTATGCATGCAAAATTTCGTTTTATTTCATTAATTTCAAACATTTTATTCTAATCCTTTAAAAACAGTTTTTTATGTTTTTCCATGTATCTTTTACAATTTTTCCTCCCTAAAAACCTTCTTCGGAGTTTATGGAACACATATTTTTTAAATACGCGAATTTGTTCAGCAGTCTTCGAGTTTTGCGATTAGTAACATATTTTGCAATTCATTTTTTTTATATACATGTCTCAATTAATATAGATTATAGAATTAAATATATATATATATATTTAATTCTATATTCTATATTAATTATTTAAATATACGAGTATATATATATATATGTATATACTCGTATATTTAAATTTACTTTTACGTTTTTATCGCTTATATCAAATTGTTATATTTCATCACGATTCAGCAGATTCTAACCTCGACGACTGTTAAGTACAAACATTAATTAAATGAATAACGAGTAATTTAAAATATTATATTCGCGTTTATCGTAATCAATATTTATTTAAAGGCCCATTAAAGCAAGAAACGCTCTTTACACATTGTGACAATTATATTTTAATGTTATTCTATACAGGACAAACTTATAACAAAATACAACTATTTTTCAAAATTTGATTTTTACAGGCAAAGGTCCCGGCTACGCGTCACCATTAGACGCATTTCACAATGGCCCTAGAGAGGAGCTGTTGTACGTGATCTGTGTACAACCCGACAAAACGAAGCAGGACTATGTTGCTACGGTTGACGTAAACCCTAAATCCTCTACTTATAGTCAGGTAAAATACACTGAAATTCTTGTTTATGAGAACACTTTATTTAGTCTAGTCGACAAGTTGAAAATGGAACAAAATAGAGATACTGCTCTTAAAATTATGTGCGATAGCTCATTCGAACCGGAATGACGCCTAGAAAAATGTGCTAAAAGCGTGTATTAGCACATAAAAAATTGCAAAAGTTATAGACCATTAAAGATGAAAAAAATGGAATTTAGTTTTTGCCAATATTTAATAAACTATTAATATTTAAGAAATTTCAAATAAAGATTCTGAAAGAGGAGGAAATTTCCAATAAAAACTCTGAGCTCCCGGAACTCTATCTCCATTATTTATAACTTTAATTTAACGCTGAAAATAGGTCTGTGCGTGACATTTTTAGGATTCGCGCGTGGCGTCAAAAGCGACTACGGCACATTAATTAATTTATTTAAGGTATTGAATATTTTTTTTTAAATTTGAAAAAATTATGGTGTGTTCTGAACACTATAATTAATTTATTCCCGTTGGAAATTTTACTTAAAGTTAATTTTTCAACAAGTTAAATAATTGTTAACTAACGAAATTTTCTCGAACGACCGTCTTAATTGTAAGTGAAAAAAAATGTTTTAATAATGGTCGTAAAAATATTTCGCTTCGTAGAGCCTTTCTTACATACATACTTAACAAGATCGTGCCATAAAAGTTAAAGAAATATTTATACTTTGTTTATAACAATTTTTTTACTTAAACAAAAACTTAAAAATCCAAGTAATGTTGTTAAAAAATTTTTTTTTTTTCTAAATCATCAAATTATCGTTTTTATATTAATACAAGATATTTATTGATTTGCAAAAAAAAAATTTCCCGCCATTGTTAATAATTTTTTTTAAACAAATTGATTAAATCAATTGTTTTAAAAAAAAATTTCACAACTTTATTACATTACAAATATTATGATTGTTTAAAAAAAAAAATTTCCTTAATAACATATTTTAATTGTTTATAATCGTTTTTTTTATATTTCTTTTGTTTAAATAATTAGTTAAGAAATTTTTTTTTTTTAAAAATCATAATTCACAATCCTCATATAACAAAATATAGAAAAACATTTTTTTAAATTTTTTGATTATCATGAATATTACTTTTATTAAAAAAATTTTTTTTTTTTTTTATAGACTTTGTTATATATGTTTGTTTTTGTTAATTTTAGAAGTTTTAGAAAAAAAATATAAAAAGTTGAACATTTGTTTATAACAAATTGGTAAGTTAATAAACAATAGAATTGTTGATTAAAAAAAAATTTTTTCTGTTACTTTATAGAGGATTGTGAATTATGATTTTAAAAAAAAAAAAAATTTCTTAACTAATTATTTAAACAAAAGAAATATAAAAAAAACGATTATAAACAATTAAAATATGTTATTAAGGAAATTTTTTTTTTAAACAATCATAATATTTGTAATGTAATAAAGTTAGAAATTTTTTTTTAAAACAATTGATTTAATCAATTTGTTTAAAAAAAAATTATTAACAAATGGCGGGAAATTTTTTTTTGCAAATCAATAAATATCTTGTATTAATATAAAAACGATAATTTGATGATTTAGAAAAAAAAAAATTTTTTAACAACATTACTTGGATTTTTAAGTTTTTGTTTAAGTAAAAAAATTGTTATAAACAAAGTATAAATATTTCTTTAACTTTTATGGCACGATCTTGTTAAGTATGTATGTAAGAAAGGCTCTACGAAGCGAAATATTTTTACGACCATTATTAAAACATTTTTTTCACTTACAATTAAGACGGTCGTTCGAGAAAATTTCGTTAGTTAACAATTATTTAACTTGTTGAAAAATTAACTTTAAGTAAAATTTCCAACGGGAATAAATTAATTATAGTGTTCAGAACACACCATAATTTTTTCAAATTTAAAAAAAATATTCAATACCTTAAATAAATTAATTAATGTGCCGTAGTCGCTTTTGACGCCACGCGCGAATCCTAAAAATGTCACGCACAGACCTATTTTCAGCGTTAAATTAAAGTTATAAATAATGGAGATAGAGTTCCGGGAGCTGAGAGTTTTTTATTGGAAATTTCCTCCTCTTTCAGAATCTTTATTTGAAATTTCTTAAATATTAATAGTTTATTAAATATTGGCAAAAAACTAAATTCCATTTTTTTTCATCTTTAATGGTCTATAACTTTTGCAATTTTTTATGTGCTAATACACGCTTTTAGCACATTTTTCTAGGCGTCATTCCGGTTCGAATGAGCTATCGCACATAATTTTAAGAGCAGTATCTCTATTTTGTTCCATTTTCAACTTGTCGACTAGACTAATTGTTTTAAAGCTGTACACTAATTTTAATGCTTAAGTGTAATATATTTAGCGTACACCAGCTGTTAAGTTTTACTAAGTACTTGAAATTAGCGAGTAAATGAAGGTAACTTAAATAATTGTTTATTTTTTTAAGAAAATCGATATGCACCGTCATAACAAGTTACTATGATGATTGATTTTTTTATACTATAAAATGATACATAATATTGGTTATTCTAGTATATCATAAATTAATTCTAAATTGTTATTTTGATAGCTTTTCGTCATCCTCTATCCTGCTTAGGATCGATAATGTACACAAAATCCTTTTATTCAAATTCTATTTTATTTAATACAAAATATGTAAAGAAAAACGAATATAATAATTCTTTGTGGATTAGTGACGCACTTCCCGGAAAAACAGTAATGATTTTGTTCATTATCAAAAGCTTTATACAACAAAACAATTAAGAAAATTCCGCTCAAGCTTATGAAATTGTACAAATGCTTACTTTTTAGAATTTACATGTATAGTAAATAATAGCTTTTCCCTTGTTTGTTCCGATCTGAGTCGGTCACAATGATACTTTCCCGAGTTGAATCTTAAAGTCCAGGATTACCGGAGCGTTATTGTCTAGTTTCTGCGTCGTTTCTAGAAAATAGAATTTTATTTGAATCAACTGCTAATTTTATAAGACAAGTGTAAAATTTAACATGGACGTGCTTCTAATTAAATAGTTCAATTTCATGAATAAAGTATAAGGACTGACCGCGGCCATATTAGATTTACTATTGGGATTTCGGTTTAGTACTTTTGAGGTTTACTCTAATTTTTTAAACAATAAATGTGCTTTTTATGGATAATGTTTAAAGAAATATTTCTCAATACAAAAAATCTGTTTTATTTACTTGAGAAACTTAATACGAACGAGATGGACTTGGTCAAGATAGTCCTAATTTTAGTTTAATCATTCAGATAGTTATGTATCTTTAATGCCCTTTGGATTTGAATTAAATTAAAATCCTTAAAACGTTTAAAATAAATGTGTGTAAGTTTATTCACTTTCAGACAAATCAAACTCAAATTAATCGTTAATTTCTCAAAGCATTTACTTCATCTGTCAAAGGTCAGGATTTTGACAGTTGACTTCATCAGGATTTCACAGATCAGAGTGTCTTCGTGATTATTATTATCGCTTGTTCACATCACTTAAGTCTAACTTAATTTACTATATTGTGTTTGAACTAATCGGGATTCGTAAACAGTTGCATAAATAAAAGTACCAATAGTAAAATCCGATAACCGTGAAAGTTCGAGTCGGTGGGTGAGTTTTCATTGAACGGCGAATTGTTCGCTGCAAATATTGGTTCATTCTATCGACGTTTGGACAGGGGTTTTAGTAGTAACATGCAATCTCAGTCTTACAGCAAATATATCGATTGCAAAAAATACGTGCTCTCTCGCCTCGCAGTTCGTATTTATATGAAATTCAATACTATTGCAGTTTAGAAATAGCGTATCGAATTGAATGTGTAAGTATTGAAACTGCTTAGTGAATTGCTTTGTTGTGTATTTTTGCTTAGGTATGTTTTTATCTTTATAAATATTTAGGGTTTTAGGATGTTTATTGGCTATAATTATTATTTTTATTTTAGAGATTTTAAATGATATTAGTATTTGAATTATAATTAAATTTTGAAGCTTTGTAATACCGATTTTAAAAAATTCTGACTACATCATGGCATAATCAAAATTAAAAAATCACGGTTTATCTCATTTTAAGTCGGTTATAGTTATAACATAGCGATCAGCTCGCTCTGTTTGTCCTTAATCCTAGTTTATAAACAGGAATAATGAAAACTCCAAATCATAAATTCATTTGTTAATTTCTATTATAAATGGTTGAAAACGAACGAACTATTTCTCGTAGCTTCGACTAGTAATATACACATAAACATGATTTGTAATGATCATGCGATTTATATATATATCTTCTGTAGGTCATACACAGGACATATACTGGTGCAGTAGGTGACGAACTGCACCACAGTGGATGGAATGTCTGCTCCAGCTGCTACGATAGACCAGAACTGAAGAGAGACCTACTCGTCTGTCCAAGTCTCCATTCGAGTAATGTCTACATTGTTGATGTTGGTACAAATCCTAGGAAACCAGAATTGCATAAGGTATGTAATTGAAACTTCATTAGCTTTTACATAGAGTAAGAAACTCGAAACTTTGCTATGTTGTGCTAAGGAAAGATAGAGTTTTACTTCATTAAAAAACTATTATTTATTTTTTACAAATAAAAACAAACGTAAGCGTAAATAAAGCAAAGGATACAATGCTACTTAGATTATTACTCTATCAACAAATAGAAAAAAATGAATCCTATTTCGACAAACAGAAAAAAAAATTAACTAAAATATCCTGTAGCGACATGATTTGGCTATTTTTATTCATACCAAGTTTATAAAGAAAACATAGTTTATAAACATTAAGTGTGGCGAAAACATATTTTATACATAGTTTTTAATTCCACCAGCCTTGCGATTCTGTAACTCACTTTTCGAACTCACACAGCGGTTTTCGCATCGGCGGTCGCTCTCAAATCAGTCATGAAGCAGTCATTTTATGATTTGGCATTCTGAAAAGGTGGGAGCTTGTATTTTATTGTTTATCAGAATGCCAAATCATAAAATGACTGCTTCATGACTGATTTGAGAGCGACCGCCGATGCGAAAACCGCTGTGTGAGTTCGAAAAGTGAGTTACAGAATCGCAGGGCAGGACGTTGAACAAACTTATTTATATTAAGACCTAAATGACATTACAAAATTAAATTGCACCTTAGACAGTTCATTTGTAACTAATCCTTATTTTATTTATCTTAAACCCAGAGATCCCAGTTAAAAGAATTGAGATTTATAATTTAGGTTACACTGCATAAGGTTATTTTTCTTATATGATACTATAAAACCTTTTCAATAATACCTACGCCCCGACTTCGAATATTCTGTTATATTTTCATTGACGTTTCAGATATATTATTATTGCATTGTTCTGACAGCTTCAGCATGATATGGCAGCTGGTTGAAACGTCTGTCATTGCATTTTAGAATTCATCGATGTAAACCTGTAATATTTATAAAAAGATTAAACGCACAACAGAAACTTGATTAAATAAAATTTCAATGCATAAATTTGTTTAAGCAATTATTTTCTGTAATAGCGCATTCATAGGTTAGCCTCGACTGGCTCGGTATTTCAAGTTTTGATGGAAACTGTTTCTTATTTAAGCGTTTATTTCTATTATTTAATTATAATTGAGCTTACTTATAAGATTAAAATAGTTTTGCCTAAAGAACATAGACATTATTTATATGCAAATCTGAGATTTCCAGTACCGTGCTATATTAAACAAATTGGAAAAAAGTACGAAGTCGAGACGATAAAATTCGCTGTCGAAATACTTAAAAATTTGATTACTTTACGTGGAACTCGCTAAATCTTGTTGCAAATAACTTGTGCTTTTAAAACTTTTGAATTTTTATGTTACTTTCCAATAAACACTATGTTTAATATACGAGTTGGTGAAGCTTGTAGCAAGCGGTTCAAACAACACATTTTTAACCTTATATCACTGAACTCCATTTTTGTTTATGAAAGTTCATTCGTAAAAGCGAGCGTTCGGACATTAAAATTATATATAATTTTTTCTTTATATCATCTTACATATGAAGAAAAATACAATCAGGGTAAATTATGTAGCAATTTTTTTAAAGTTTTATTTTAATTACACCACGCTAATTTAATCCAAGAATTGTCTATTCATTACAATGAAAAAACAAATTGGGATACAAAATATGTTTGAAATGAGGTTAATGAATTATTAACATATGAATAATTATGTAAACAATCATAAACGTTAAATATATCTTATCGTAAAAACATATTTGTATTTCTGTCCGGTACCAAGGTAAAACAAACAAATTTTAGTTCAAACGCTGGGGTCACATTTATTAACGATTTGAAGTTAATTAGAAAATAATAGACTGGTCGGTCGGTGGGTTTACCTTCTACATATTTTAAAGAAATACACATATATTAACTCTCTCTTATACGTATACATATAAAAATTTATTATGTTATTTCTCGCTAAGCAAGTCAACTAACCTATAAGTAACACTGAGACATAAGTTATGAACACACGAGAGAGTGTTTGTTATGAATCACATTAAAAGTCATAGATTCGAATCCTGGCAAAACAAAAGTTATAGAAAGAAAGTTTAGGAACTGATCACCTCCATGGTTGTTAAGAAAAATCGTGGTTTATGGTATTTAAGTTTTTATTACCCGAATCACGTCAAACTCTTAAAATTTACCGTGAAATTTATTAACCATTAAAATTAATTAACCCATTTATTCATACAAAATAAAACGGTCCAAAAAGACTAATTTCGTTTTTATGAACAATCTTCAGAGATTGTGATTTCAGAATCTATTTTAGAATATGTTACACCAAGGCTCAGATTTACTATATCAATCATTTTAAGTTAAGTTTTAGTTAATTGGTATTCCCAATTACGTCATTCATCAAGTTGGTTACGTCGATAATTATTCCACAGAACATAGTTCACCAGTGAAATTACACCATCTTGAATCTGTCCACAAACTTGCAACATTTCGGTTAATGTCAAACTCATTAGCATGGGATTTGACCCAATTTTCAGATAATTGCAGTTTAATATATTAAAAGTTAATTTATACAATCATCAAGAAACACACACACACATCCACACATCTCCTTAGATAAATTTTAATCATTATGTTTGTGTTATTGTTCATTTATCAAGTATGTCCGTTTCGTGTGTTGTTGGTAACGATAGACTTGCTTAATTGCCACGAAACAATTTTCTTTTAGGGTTAAAATAAATAAAGTACTTTAATACATAATAAATTTATTTCCAACAAACAAGTATACAGTATTTGCAATATTCATAACCTACACAGTAATAATAATATTAATTAAAAATTTATAAATAGACAATTAAAACAAATTTAAAAGTGTGGTCCTTGTGGCAGTGTACCTTTAATGCTGGCATTCCTCGCTGTATTGCGATACTTATTCGTTGAGGGAACAAACATAAAGTATACTACTAAAATAAATTACTACTACAACTTTACTATTTAAAAATTTACTTCACGATAAAACAATACCAAAGAAACAAACGCATATGTTTCACTCCGTGAGATGTTATTGTAGATTTAACTTCTAACGAATTTGTTATTTATTTTTTAATGTGAATCTTAAAACTGCCCGTAAACTTGTATCATTTCGCTTGATGGCTGACATTAGCATTAAATTTGACCCAAATTTTTAGGAAACGTGAAAAGTAAATCATTTTAGGATTCGTTTTGAAATAAATGTTGTATTTACATAAGTATGACACAGCTCATAATAATCATTCTATAAAACAAAATACTTGGCGATTAAAAAGAGCGGCGCAGAGTTTCTAGCCTGTTCCGCGCCCTTGATTTGAGTACCTACTGGAAGTAGCATAAGTTCATCTAGAAATATTGATTTTATGAAATTTTCATTTATTTCGATATAATTCATAATTGAAAGCTGTCATATTCATACAGTGTTTAGGAATAATGAATGATATTCTTTGTTACTCCATATTTTTCTTAATTTACTTCTGCAAATATTGTGTACTTTGTTTTCTGTACATTTCTAAACGTATAACGAAATTAAAGTAATAATTAAACTATCGTTTTCGTAATTATATTTTTTTTCGTATTTTGGAAGTAGCCTGTATAGAGATTGAGAATTGCATTATTTTAAGTGTTTACAGAGCACCAAGTGCATCTTACGATTTTTTTGAAGAAAAGTTGGAGGAAATTTTGTGTAAAGTTAGTTTTAAGAACAATAAGTATATTATTGTGTGTGGTGACTTCAATATAAATTTATTAGAAAATACCTCCATTAGTAAAAAATTCAATCTGTTATTAAAATCTTACAATCTTGTTAACTTGTTTCTTGAGCCCACTAGAATTACAAGCTCCACTGCTACATGTATAGATAATGTATTTACAGATGCAGAGGCAATGCAAACCTCAATTACAACTGATCTTAGCTCAGATCATTGTGGGCAGTTAGTGGCGCTAAAATGTAAAGTGGTGAAACAAGTAAATAAGAGCAGTGTGTTTGTTCCAGTAAATAAAAAGCGAATGGTGAGATTTAGACATAATATAGGTAAACACCTACCTTTATTACCGGTAGGTACTACCGTTGATATACAATACAACAATCTAAGTGATTGTATTAATAAAGAGTTCAACAACATCTTTACCCCAAAGAAAGTCTCTCATTCGCAGTGTAAATCGTTTAGTGATTGGGCGACAGCGGGAATTTATAAAAGTAGACAACGGTTGTATGACCTTTACGCTGAAAAGTCATACAATCATAATGAAGAATTTATTCTTTATGTTCGAAATTATTCGAAATTATTTAAGAAAGTTTGTTACGCGGCCAAGTCCTTAAATATCAAAAACAAGATTAAAAATAGTACCAATAAAACTAAAATGACTTGGAAGATAATTGATAGTGAAACTGGAAGAGTCAGGGATCGCAATCAAGACATCGAACTCGTGTCGATAACACTATAATCAAATCTAACGAAGAGATAGCGATTGTTTTTGATAAGTAATTTTCTGACATTCCAATTTCGACTACTAAGTCTCTTCAATCATCTCCCGCCCTCGCTGAATCGCTGCTCAAAGATAATGTAAACGAGTGCAAGGTCAGTTTTACATTCCGACCCATTGGTGCCGACGATATGGTGAGGATATTTAGAACCATAGATATTAAGAACACTACCGATCTTTGGGGTATTTCTGTAAAAATAATTAGTAGCATAATTGATGTAATTGCTCCCCATCTAGCTATAATTTTCAACAATTGTATTAAAAGTGGCGAGTTTCCCAATCTAATGAAACATAGTAAAGTTATTCCATTATTTAAAGCAGGTAGTATGTCCGACCCCAGTAACTTTAGACCAATTTCCGTACTACCTACTTGTAGTAAAATATTTGAAAAAATTATATTAAATCAACTGGTAAGTCATTTTAACGAAAACAAATTATGACATAATAATCAGTTCGGTTTTACCAAGGGTCGCTCGACAGCCGATGCCGGTGTTGAGTTATATAGATATATAGTTAAGGCTTGGGAGAAGCCGCATGATGCTTTAGGTGTTTTCTGCGACTTATCCAAAGCATTTGATTGTGTCCAACACGAGACCTTAATCGGGAAACTCCGCCACTATGGCATCAAGAATACCGCACTGAATCTTCTGACTTCCTATTTACACGGAAGAACTCAGAAGGTTGAAGTGAATGGTAAGAGGTCCTCTGGGTCGGCAGTAGATATGGGGGTACCACAGGGCTCAATTCTTGGCCCTTTCCTCTTTCTTGTTTATATAAATGATCTACCTTTCATGGTAGAGAGAAAACATCAGATAGTTTTGTTTGCTGATGACACGTCCTTGATTTTTAAAATCAAACGACAAATAACAAATTTTGACGATGTGAACAATGCTCTGTCTTCGATTGTCCATTGGTATAACCTTCTACTTAATGCAAAAAAGACAAAATGCATTAAATTTTGTGCAAAAAATGCAAGGGTTATGGCAAATGGATACTAGACCAATTATAAACGGTGAGGAATTGAATCTGGATGATACAACTGTATTTCTCGGAATCACCATGGATTCAAAACTTCAGTGGTCCCCTCATATTAACGGATTGGCGAAGAGACTTAGTTCTGCAGCCTACGCGGTTAAAAAAAATTCGCTCACTAACTGATGTCGATACAGCTAGACTTGTTTATTTTAGTTACTTTCATAGCTTAATGACTTATGGCTTATTATTATGGGGTCATGCTGCTGATGTCGAAACTATTTTCATCCTGCAGAAGAGGGCTATTCGTGCAATCTATAATTTAAAATGTAGGGAATCTCTTAGAGATAAATTCAAGGAAATTAATATACTTACCTTTCCCTCGCAATATATTTATGAAAATATTATGTATGTATACAAAAATAGTGATAAGTTTACTAGAATAGAACATACGCACAATGTTAATACACGGAACAAACGCAGGCTGAAATTTCCCCGTACTAGACTATCTAAAGTTAGTAATTCTTTTTTGGGGAAAGGGGATACTCTTCTTTAATAAAATCCCAGAGGCTCTTTTATCTCTGCCTTTCAATAAATTTAAGAAATGTATTAAAGAAAAGCTGTGTAAAAAGGCTTACTATAAAGTCAACGATTATCTAGTTGATAAAAGGGCCTGGGACTAGTGCTAGACAGGCTACTTCTAATTAATTTGCGATATTTGTTTTAAATAAGTGTTGTTTGATGATTTGCTGTTTTAAAAGAGTACCGAGAGTTTTTTACGCCGGCTTTTTCTCTCGGCCTACACCCTCTGTCTTCTTTGCCGATGAGTAGGGATGCCTAAAAGTTCAAATTTAATGACGTGGAATAAGTGATACATGTATCTTATGTTCCATAATAAACATATTTTATTTTATTTTATAAAATCAGTTGTAAAAACAGTTTTTACAACATGAACAATAGATAAGAAATAAAATTTAAAATAATATATCGCAGGCTAACAGCAGTTCCTAACAGCCTGTCGGATCTTATCCGTTCAATATCTTTTTCATGGCGAGTTCATGCCGAAAATCTCATTACCAGGTAATCGATGGCTCAGAAATGAGGTCGTTCAACTGCAGTTTCCCACACTCGGTACACTGCCTGGCGAGTGGAGAGGTCATGATATCCACTATGGGTGACGCAGAGGAAAATGGAAAAGGAGATTTTGTGCTGATTGATTCGAAGACTTTGAAAGTTACAGGTAATTAAGGATATATAATTAATGGGCCATAGACTTAAGTATATTATGGTTGGTATGACCAGCTAAATATGAACCCTATTGGTCATTAGATAGGTGCAAATTTGACTGTAAACGATTTTTATTTAGGCACGAATATATTTTACAAACTTGCTATTTCGATTGTTGATGTTGAACACATTGTGTGAATTGCACACGAAGAAGGAAGAATGGTGAAAAGTCGGGTTATAAACACACGACCACAGGGTTGAGAATAGACAGCTTCGCCACTGCTATAGATCATCGCATTTTAATAAAAATAGTCAAGTTAATGATTTTATCTATTAAGACATATATTATATATATATATATATATATATATATACGCCTAAATAGATAAAATCATTAAATTATAGTAGATAAATAGTCTTGATGTTTTGATTTGGTATTTAAAACATGTTTGGTATTGTATATACGCGAAGCAAAAATAAAAATCAACGATATATAAACTTCGTTCTTTCCGTTTACTTCAAACATATTGGTTTTTATTTTAGGTTCTTGGGCAAAAGGAGAGAAGAGAGCTAAATTTGGTTACGATTTTTGGTATCAACCGTACCACGACGTTATGATCGCAACTGAATGGGGTTCACCGAAACATTATAAAAAGTATAATGGGGCATCCACACGCTGGCTGTTTGTCACAAACACCGCAAAAAGCAAACGAAGTCCCAAACACCAACCACAATCACCCAACACAAACAGCCATCCACATGCTTGGCGAACGTTCATAACATTCCGAATCGGCAAACATGGCGGACGACGAGCTTGTTGCAGCTATTACTTTCGGGTTGACATATTTTTATTATAAATTAAAGCAAGAGAAAGAAAAAAGGAAAAAAAGAAGAAAGCAAAGACGATGGTGGATGATTAAAATACATAGAAAGCGTACAAGGCTTTAGACCTATTATTTGAGCTTTACTTTGCCGTGTTTTTTTTAAATTTACTTAAAAGTTACTTAAAAATGTCAGAATCGTAGGTGCTCCAATCAGACATTTTTTACGCTTTGCGCGCCAACGAAAGTGTAGCAAGTAAATACGTCCGCCTCCCGCAAGCTCGCGCGCATACTGATCGCTGCCAAACGTGTGGATACGTAGCAAACTGTTTGCCAAACATCCTTTGATCTGGCAAGATAAACCGACACCGATGCCGAACACTGCCCAACACGAACACAAACAGGCAAACAACGACAAACACCCATCCACACGTCCGTGTTTGCTGTTTGCTGTTAGCTGTTTGCCATTGTTTGTCAAGCGTGTGGATGGGCTTTTAGACACACACCATACCCGTAATAATTTCATATTAATTCTAAATTTATTATAATGAGCTTTTTCCTATTTGTGTGAGACATGCTTTTTAAATATACCAAAATTTAAATAAAAAATAAATTTATATCAACTTTATAAACATTTAGTAAATTTTTTTGTAATATTGTAGTAATTTATAAATTAATTTTTACTACGATTTGGATATTATTAAGTAAACTTACTGTAACAAAATACGATAAAATTTGTACCATTGTTGGCCTATAAACTGGCACTAAACTGTTCTTTGTTTTAGCTTTAAAAATGTTTTACCTAATTTGCGTTTATTATAATTTTATTTCCTTTTTAGGGGTTTCCAGCCCTCGGATCTATCCAATCCAGACATATATGGAACCAGTCTCAATTTTTACCGCTGGTCGACGCACGAGTTAATTCAAGTTATAGATTTAGGGACGGAAGGGTATGCACCCCTTGAGACCAGGTTCCTACATAATCCCAAAGCCGCTGAGGGATTTGTGGGGTGCGCAGTACTAGGAAACGTATACAGGTAGGAATAATTGCTTATTGAAACCGAAATAGAACGGGACTATAATTGAGTTCGGGAAATAATATTTTCCAAATATCTTGCATTAAAAGGAAAGCTTTTAACAGCGAAAAATAAGAGATTAATATTGAAATTTTCTAGTCCCTGCAAGTACAAAAACTATAGGCGTTTTATAACAATTTTGTAAGTTTAAAAAACTTAAGCGGCCAATTATAAGTAGGTACTATTTGTCATTCCGAATATTAACTGCATATGAGAATTCTCTATGAAGATTTTTATCAGATTCGATCAGCAAAAAACGTGACAACGTTTTCTTAATCTAATTATTTAATTTAAAAACAGGTGGTTTTATTGTGCTCGTAATTAGTCAACATTTCTAATCAACCACAATGAAGTAACACTATTAGTTGTTACCTTTAAATTTTGAATATCATTTTTACCTTTACTCTAACAATTTTTTTTTAGATTTTACAAAAACAGCAATGGAACATGGAGCGCCGATAAAGTCATCGATATCCCAGCTAAAACTGTGTTACAAGGTGGAGCTGAAACTAAAATTAATGGTAACAGTTTTATAATTTACGAGTGTAAGAGCTATTTTCTCGGGTGTTTTATCGTGAGATTTTCATTTTTCAAGCTCTGGTAGGCGACATATTGTTGTCATTGGACGATAAGTACCTCTACTTATCATGTTGGATGCACGGAGACGTGAGACAGTACGATATATCAGATACGAAAAATCCAAAGCTCGTTGGACAAATTTTCCTTGGCGGGCAAATAGCGAACAACGACCTAAATGTAATCGATGACAAGGAATTGGAGGTAATAATTTTCTCATTTTCTAACGAATTAATACTTCATGACTTCACACAATTACCTTTTCGCTGTATCATTCCTTTCATTTCGCCCTTTGTTCGTTAAATTACTCTCAACGGCTTTGCGCAATCCAATATTTTGTTTCAATGTTTTTACGATTATTTGTTTTGTTCGAGCGATTAACTTAGTATTTCAGTCGTTTGGTTATTAATCTCTTTTGTATTCGAATAAAATAAATTCTCTACGAAGTTTTATTCACTTTTTTATTGACTTGTTTTCTAAATAATTAAAAAATACTAGTTCTCATCGATTTATTCTCAACAGAGACTTTCCGTTTCTTCCGTTATAAGAAGTGAAAATGCAAAAGTAGTTTTAGTTCATTGGTGCAGTTCTATATAATTTATTTTTAGACATTAATTACGATAAAAGTAAATTTTGCAACATGATACATGACCAAATGATGATATAGCTAATTAACAATTTTCTTGGAAACCTTGCCTTACCTTGGAAAGTTTAAAATTCTACTCTTTATTTGTAACATAGCAGAGAAGATCAATATAATTTAAATTCAATAACACAGTATACATAATTGTAATGAAAATGCTAATTCAGTTAAAATATAGGTACACTCAACTATTTTGGACTGCATTATTAGTGTTCACTCACATTTTCACTAAAGCGACCTAAAATCATCTATTTACTTAATTTAAACCTCTATTCGCATCAGGAACCACCAAAGCCTGTAATTGTAAAAGGAAAAAGGCTTTATGGCAGTCCACAGATGATACAACTATCTCTAGATGGAAAACGACTGTATGCATCCAGCTCTCTGTATTCACCCTGGGATAAGCAATTTTATCCTCAAATGATCAAAGAGGTAAGTTTTAATTATAACTACGCTTATGCTTTAAACATACGGGAATCTCTATACTTTAATTGCTTTTGCTTGCGTCTGTATTTTTTTTCTGTTAGGAAGAGTTTTATTATTATTTATTTATCTATTTGCTCAACGGTATTCCTACAGCTACTTATTAACCAATATTCAAACAATTACACTGTACACAAAGGCCAAAAACGGAATACACATTTAAACATACACAAAGCACAGTTTCACCTATACAAATACAAAAAATATACAAAGAATATATGATTTGAATAAAAACTTTATATAATTTGATATTTATGAAATCTAGTTCACATATAATGAAACATTTGTTAATTGATTATTTATTTGACCATTTACATAGATGAGAATGGGTGGTCTTGATTAACACATCACAGTTGTTCATTAAACGTTCTTGCTGTACTTCTCTTCTCTAAAAAGAGCTTGAAGTTCTTCTTTAAATCACTGTAGTTAACTGAACGGACGTTAAATACTCAGTTGCATTAATCTTTAGATAAAATAATTATAATTTGAATATACTTAATATATTTAAGCAGCAGCAGTGTTTGCCTTATCTCTGAAGTTGTAGATCCTCTGCACCAATCAGCTACTCTGTGAAAAAAAATTATCAAAAAAACGGATGCAATCTGAGGCCAAGATCCATTTAGGGTTATTGTTCCACTGGGTTATTACTATTAAAATATCAAGGAAAATTTAATTCCCATAGGATTATTACACACTCACACGTAGTAAATGTTTTTAAAATTCCGAATGCATTTTTAAAATAAACCGTTCCTCTATATTGCTATCCAGCAACGTAATAGGTAGAGAGAACATTCGTTTGGTGAAATGTGGAATTCCGACATTTTATTAAACATTAGGCAGCTCCACAACCAAAGGTCCAAGACAAAGTATTTTATTTGTAATATACCGGCACTTTAGTCCCGGGCGGCCTGTTATGCGGATTCCTTATATTTAATATAAAGCTAACTCTGCTTTTATGTGCTTTCCTTTGTATTATATAAAATATATTCCAAATTTGAATTCAACGTATATTCTCTACTGTGCACATTCTATATTTAAATTTCGTAGCACATAACAAAATAATAAATAAAACACGGTAATAAATCAACAGTAGTGCAATAGGTGACCTTATCGCTTATGAGCAACGGGAAGAAGAGCAAAAAATAAACAGAAATGAAATTAACTTAATAATCTTAAACGTACCTATAAATATTATAGTTATAAAGTTATATAAATTTGTATACTATGATTTTTTTATAAAAGGATCACGGAAATATACATTTAATGTTACCATGCAAGTAGGTATCTAATAAGGTATCTATTTTAAAGCATTGTACTAAGCTAAGTAACAAAAAGACAATAAATTTTTTGGACTGGTAGACTGGTCATGCCTTAAATGGTTCTTAATTTCAACTCGCATCTGACCGCAGTGGTACATAAGTCGGCATGGTTTTTTGCGACATGTTCAACTATAATCGTTAAATTTTAGTAAATTTATATTAATTGAAATGAAACACTTTAGCCATCTTAGGAAGTCATTTATTGTTGGGGTGGGAAATTATCGCGTTTTACATACGGATGCGGCGGGGGACTTAGCTTTTTAATAATTAAAATTCAAAGGCACTGAGTGTAGAGTATATAAGTTGATAATTATAAAATGCATATTTAAAACTTAGAAGTAAAATGAACTAAAATGAGTCGTAAAAAATTATAAAGTGGATCATATAATAAATACAGTGAGCAGTGAAATAGGTAAATGGGCAGTTACGAGTGGGTCATCCTAAACCTAACCGAACCTAAAACTGCCGAACTATTTATCGAACTGCTCATTCCATCATTGTTACCGGACATTTATTTCCTAGCAATAAAAGAAATAACTTCCCATTATTTTTTCAACTGATCATAATAACTTCTCGTATATTGAAATAACAGTTCCAAAAATTAGTTCCCAAATTAAAGTATTTATCCTCTATGACTCATATTTCTGCTGTTTCGAACATAATGTGCCATCGCTGCTCGTAATATGAAAATCCTAATCCCAATATTTTTCCAGGGTGGATGGATTGTGAAAATAGATGTGGACACCGAAAACGGAGGACTGAAGTTAGATGAAGATTTTCTTGTGCATTTTGGTGATGAACCTAACGGCCCGGTTTTACCTCACGAAATTAGGTAGTTTTTCACATCGAGCATATATTATTTCGTACTTGTGATTTTTAAGATGCGTTTCTTAGGCAATATATATATACTAATATACTATATATATACTAATAATATATAAATAACTAAACTTTAAAACAATTACAATGATGACATGGATACAGAAAATTAATTTACTATTATTTGCATAGATTAAAAAGAAACTTATTAGATGAAAATTTAATCTCCTCTTTCAGGTACCCTGGAGGAGACTGCACTTCAGACATTTGGTTAGCTAAGGAATAGCAAAGTGTGCCAAAGCTCATATTTTTATAAAATAAGAATTTAAAATTAAGCTTTAAATTTCCGTTTGCACTTAAATATAATAGTACCAAGTTAAAGGTTATTAGGTAAGAATGTCGGAGGCAAAGGATTTAAATACTGTATAATGTGTATAATAATGCCAATTTAATTGTGTATAGGGAACAATTTAGTTTCACTTGCAGTAAAACCAGAAAGTTAATCCTATGGAAAATTTGTTACTAGAAACCGATGCTAGAAAACCCTTTGCGTGTTGTTAGAGACTTGGTTCCAAGTATGACTATGTCAAAAACTTACTTAACACTAAAACTCGACCCAGGGGCCTCATAGTCTAGCGGTCTTATTAAGTGGCAGCTAGGTGAGGGGTACCGGGTTCGATTCCCGGTTGGAGGGTTGTGCGGTACCGGGCGAGTGCCTAAACCGTACATGGATGACACGGTCGAATTTCTAAAGACAAGCACGAATTATAAAAAATCCTATACTTTTTTTTTTTTTTTTTTTAAAGACAATTCACACCAATTATACTTGACGCTGGCCAATGCACAAATCGTGCCAGAGCCATAAAAAAAAAACTCGACCCTGATACCCTGTATGTCTAAGTAGAACTGTACGTCTTCTTCAGTGCAAACGGAAAATACGCGATAAATATTAATTTAAAACACTCGCTTACAATGTTATTTTAAGCTTTTACCAAAAGACCCTGAGTAATCCAATATTCGAATGTTGTGTACAAGCGAAATACATGTGTAATAATATGAGTTGATTTATTTTCGTATTTCCTGTCCAACGATCCCGAATGTAACATTTATTTTCATACGTTAAACTTTGTTTTTTCGCGTCAGCTTTGGGCCTACAAATACAAGCTAAGCGGTTGTTTTCGCAATGTTAAGTTGTGCTAAATTCTTCTTTTTATACACGACAAGGGTTTATCTAAAGATATATCTATAAAACTTTATATAATATATATTACGTCCTTACATATGAATATTATAAAAAAAGAATTGGCCAAATTGGTCCAGGCGTTGTTGAGTTATGCGCTTACCAACACATTTTGCGATTCATTTTTATATTATAAGATTAATCAAAGTAAAAATCAAAAATATGTACTATCGCTATCTATGCACTTTTGCCATCTTATTTATAAGTAGTTTATTGATCCCTTTACTAAAAAAACCATTCGGACAGGCATCAAAAAATCTTTGAAGGTGGTTCCGACTGCCTCATCAGAGTTGGATTTTTTACTCAAAATTCAAGATTTCCATTCTTTTCGAAATTTTGATTTCGTAATCTGTTGGAGCAAGGTGGATACTTGTCTTAGACATTCCTATTAAGCTCCTCTAATTTGGTAGCAGACTGTTGTGCAGCGTGCGGTCTACCGTTGTCGTGAAGCAGCAGTGGCCTAGGGTAAGAAGGAGATATTTGAGATCAAAGTTGCCAGTACGACAAAACGTCAATTTCATATGTCCCTAATATATCTCTATTATATTGGCAGTACTCCCTATATTGTTTTTTAACCAGCTATGCCCCACGGTTTCACCCGCGATAATTCCGTCGTAGTGTGATCAGCGATGTCATAGCGTAGCATATTAGCAATTAAGATTATAATTGATATTATTATATATTTATATATTATATAAACGAGAATGTAAGTGCGTGCTCCTATTTCACCATGCCTCCTGCTGATATAGGACAAATCTTTGTTTTTAATTTATTTTATTATTAAGATGATATTACTTAAGATGTCATTTGGAACATGGTGTAATGGTTGCAGCTTCAAACTGGCAGTTTCTTAAATCTTGGTGATTAAAAAGAGTGGCGGAGAGTTTATTGCCAGTTCTTCTCTTCTGTTCTACGCCCTTGATTTAAGAACTGGCAGTAAATGTAAAATTAGAAGCATTTAATCTTTTTTGACGTTCATAAGTGTACATTGTGTTACCTATATGAACAAATGATTTTTGTCTTGACTTCAAATTCTATAGACTAGCGAGTCCAACCAAATGAGCAATGTCGTAAGCCTTTTAAGATTAGTATATATTATTTAAGTTAAAAATAGTTTGATATCAGTAAATCCTATTCAAGATTGATAAGAAAGGGATAAGAGATTGCTTTTAGGATAATGAAGGATTAAAAGGGGTCGAATACTTTTAAATGGCTTTGCGATGCCCCTCTTAGTTGGAAAAATTAAATATTCACGCACTTGGAAATTCTTGATATTCGGAAAAAAACACTGAGCCTTTTCTTAATCCTTTCAAGTGGTTAATAATAATGAAACTTAAATTATATTTATATTTAAAACATTTTTCACTCTCGCTCCGCTACTTGCTGTAAAATTCAAATATTTTTATTAAAAAAAACATGTTTTATACAAAGTGTGTATGCAAACCCTGTTCACCCGCTGAAGCTTCTGCGTGCCCAAAAAATAATTAATGATTAATTTTCCCATTCACAAATAAAATCCTATAAATTGAAAATTCGAAATGGGATATTATAGATAATGTCCTCATATCAGGTGGGACATAAATAAAAGTAACTTCAGATTATGTCATATATTAGTCTTTATAAGTAACAGTAGTGTTATTAATACCAAATTATCAGTCATACAATATTTATTTGATTGAATTAAACATTTACGCTTGTTACGATGATTAACAGTCGTTACTAATCAACTGCTAATTGTCAAGAGCGTATTACTAATTGATAATTAATATGCTATGTATAGTTGACTCGGCTGGCGGCAGTAAACCGTAAATGCATACGTACGTGTTATGCCGTATTCGTAGAACTATATTTCGCCTTAAAATTCCCGAAGATATTACGAGTGTATTTTTATTAAACAAACATTGCAGTGTAACATAACCAAATTTATTAATTTCACGTCAATTGATAAACATGATTATCTGTAGTTATTTAAACACACTCTACAGGTATGCTTATGTGTGAGAACAAGCCAACAAATTTAGTCGGGTTAAATTGAAATAAAAAACAAATCAGTGGCGCTATAAACTTTTTTTAGTTCTGGTCCTCAGATTTCTGTGTTTGTTTCATGATCATTTGTCAATGTAGTAGGCAAGTAGCTGATCAGCCTGTGCCTGACACACGCTATCGACTTTTTGGGTCTAAGGCAAGCCGGTTTCGTCACGATGATTTCCTTCACCGTTCGACCGAATGTTTAATGCGCACATAGAAAATCCATTGCATAGCCGGGGAACCTACGATCTCAGGGATAAGAGTCGCATGCTGAAGTCACTAGACCAATGCTGTGTGTGTGCTTAAATTAAAATACTTGTTTTATAATTTTTTGCATGCGAAGACATAGTATGCGTGTACACTTAATATTGATTTGTTCTTTGGTATTTTAAAATCTTGTTTTCAACACTTGTTTTAAGTTTATTCTGTTATTAAAGCTATCCTATATATATATCTGTTATTAAAGCTATCCTATTATTGTAGATAACTAAACGTAATTGGAAACCAAATAACTCAAGAATATATATTGAAGTATAGCCTCTTCCCCCCGAGTACACGTTACGAGTAATTTGATTCGAGATAAATATTAGAATTTGGGACAATGCGGGGTTGGCTCTCGCTATAATGGTTATGAAGGAGTTAAATAAGGTTAAACATGTGTGCGGTTACGTAATTTTACCGACAGTGTAATAATCGTTTAGTACTACGTGAATTTTGGTTAAGGGTAAACGAATGGGTATAATAGGACGAACCTAATTGTAAATTAATATTGTTGGCGTCGGTTAGATTTTTTTTTACAAGAAGTAAAACCTAAGAACATCTATTTTATGATACAGAACACAATGCGATTTTCTCGCTTAGCATATGGCAAAGGCATATTCAGAAGAACGCATCATCGGACGTCGAGGCAGAATACGAAATTCCACCCGCATCACCTCGACGTCCGCCGTTCCACAACTGAGTGTTTTTCAAGGCAGTTTCTGCCGCGCACCACCACTTTGTGGAACCAGCTGCCCACTGAAGTATTTCCAAACCAATTCGACTTAGGGCACTTCAAGAAAAGAGCGTACCAATTCTTAATAGACCGGCAACGCACTCGCGAGCTCTCTGGCATTGAGAGTGTCCATGGGCGGCGGTATCACTTACCATCAGGTGAGCCTCTTGCCTGTTTGCCCCCTGTTCTATAATAAAAACCCAATATTTTAGATAATGTGGGTAATGGAAATCCGAAGTTCATTTCCAGTATTTTGTTGTCGTATATAAATATTGCGTAAAAAATCTTTTTGAAATAGTAAGTGTAAGTAAAAATATGATGCATTCTGTCGTTTCTTTCTATCAAATAATGTGTACGCTGTGGTGAAAAGAGACGATTGAATAATTTAGTTTAAACGCTGAAATTAGACTTTAATGAATGGGGTTTATGACGTAACCTAAACATAGAAGCATTCATTAGAAGCATCAAACTAATATTTGTGTTTCGGGTTTCAGTCACTTGTAATCAATCCGCCTTTATCGAATTTCATTGTATTTTTCTTCATATTTCTCAGTCGAGAATCGCAAACACTTTCAAAAGACACTCACTAGCATTTTCATCCATAATAAATGTAGATAGTAACTTTATAGGATATTAAGGATATGAAATTTCAGTTATGGATGTGTAAATACTGGTTTTAGAGGCTCACCTGATGTTAAGTGATACCGCCGCCGATGGACACTCACACTGCCGGAAGGCTTGCAAGTGCGTTGCCGGCCTTTCAAGAGTTGGTACGCTCTTTTCTTGAAGGACCCTTAGTCGAATCGATATATCAAATATCCTTCATCTCATTTTTAATTATTATATATTTCAATATCAGAAATAAATAGGCTACCGATAATAACATTACGGTTTTGGAGTTAACCTTACTTTGTTTGAATATTGTACTGTCAGCAAACGTGTTTTATCCTACGTGGTAACGCTTCTGTTTCCCGCCGATATGTCTTCAGCTGAAGGCCATGGATTTGACAATAAAATAGTGGCT